CAAAACATTTTTGTTAAAGGAGACTATCCCACCTACCCCCTCCCCTTTGACAGAGCCCTAACTCCGTAAACAACTTGAAGGTTGGCTAATAAACCCCTTGACCCCCCCCCCCCCCTCACCCCCGTCACCCCCCCCCCCCAAGTTTAGATGATCTCTTTTTTTAAGTATTTGTTGAAACGTTTCATATTATTTTTTAAACATTGTATCTCCATTGTGGGGAAAACAAGAATAGACCCACTGCCTACCCAAAAGTATGTCGTAAGAGTCGACTAATTGGGAGTTTCCTTCGAAGTCAGAATACATCTGCCTGAGAGGCAAGGCACCAACAGTCTGCATGAAAATGAGTCTGATATGTCAAACGGATGTATACGCAATACCCAGGTTATGTTGTTGTTGTTATCGATCCAGCGGCGCATGAGCTTTCGCCCTCTGGCCCAATGCCATGTAGTGGACTTTGCATGTTTTCACAAGCTGCTCTTTTCCTCCGAACAAGGTGTTTCACCTGTCTGTTTTCGGTGGGGGGGGGGGGGGGGTAGCATTCTTCTAGTCTCGCTGAGTTTTGGGCACTCAAATAGATGGTGATCAACAGTTTCGTAGGGGTAGTTGCATTGCTGGCACTCTGGGGAGTGTTGTGGTTGTATTCTGTTTAGATGTCCATTGGGTGAAGAGTATGTTGTGTTCTGAGTCTGAGGTTGTTGGCTTGGTCCCTTCTTGTAAGATGGTTGATGCTGTCGTTAGGATCAGTGCTAGCCATGTATCTATAGACCTCTCTTCCAGTATCTCCCATGAGTTCAGCGAAGTCTCTTTGTTCATTGCTCTTATAAGTGTTTTTGCTGTCTGTAGGGTTGTCGCTGTAGGTGGTTGTTCTTGTGTTGCTCCTTTCTTTGCCAGTCTGCCAGCTCTGTTATTACCGAGTGTGCCGGAGTGGCCTGGAATCCACTGCATCAATAATCTGATGTTGTATGAGATAATGAGCTGATCAGCATCCAGAATTATCTTGGCTTTGTCAGTTCTGCAGCGTTCACTGCCCTCCAGAGCTTAAAGAGCTGACATTGAATCGGTGAAGATGACAATATTTTTGGCCCTTGAAGGGTAAACATCCATTAAAGTTTTTAGGTGGTCTACTGCTGTTTTCAGTGCAACTACTTCGGCTTCACAATTTAAGCAGAATTCACCACAGGCATCAACAATCTTTTCAACAGATCCATCAGGGTAACCTATGTAGATTCCGTAACCTGCTTTAATTGTAGCTTTGAATGCAGATCCATCAGTATAAACCTGTATCCATTCTTCGGGGTAAGAATCAATGGTCTTTAGCGATGAGTTCATAAGTGCGATTGGGTCGGATTGCTTGGTTTCTTCGTCTACCAATTTCATTCGGACTTCTGGAGCTTTAAAGCGAGCATGTGGTGGTAGGTTTCTTGCAACATTCTGAATGCCTTGCCGTCTTTATGTGAGGTGGTATCTGTCCTGTATTTCATGTACACAGTGTCAAACTTTATTATGTGCTTTATTCTTTGTTTGTATTCCCAGTTTTCTACAAGGTGTATATTATGATGGTTACGATTCATTCTAACGCATCTTTCATAAATTTCTGAAGTGGCTTTTTCTCTCCGCAACCCGAGGGGTTCCACATTTGTATAGATTTCACATGCAGGTTCTGGAACAGGACGGAAGTCCAGAAGTGGACAAACAACCAGAACTCTCTGCCGGAGGTTACAGCCAGTGAACGAGAAGACAAAGAAATATTTTGCCATATGTTTTAACGTTGTGTGCATAATATAAATAATAATTACATTATTATTATTGCTTGCTTAAACAGGGTTAAAATCCTTTGTGCCTTGTCCAACAAAAAACTACGAGAGACCCCCTTCCACTCCCTTTTCCCCTTAAAGAATTCTTTTGGGGCCTGCGTGGTCTCGAGGCCTGGTGTCCGCTTCGAGTGATAAAGGTTACGGGTTCAGTACTCGGTAAGGGCTGGGATTTTTTCACGTAGACTTGGGCTAATTTCCCATGATCTCTGGAAAGTGAGATCGGACGTCCGTGTGCATTGTTGCGTGCGTAAAAAAAATCCTTTAGCAGTCGGAATTCGAAAAGAGTGGTCTAACGGCGCTGCCCGGGCTAAATTTGGAGTTAAAAATCTACCCAAAGTATTTCAGGATTCTCGCCGGTACACTGTGCTGAGCTTCTTCGGACTCAGACCTGAGTTAGAAGAAGAACGGAGCACTTATGGGTTACTAACTGTGTGCCATGATGTTGATCCGTTGTTCAAAAACTTCAAAAAACAGAATTATTTGTAATGATGCGCCTGCTTATAGAAAAAAAAGGTTGTTGCGTATCCTTTACAGGACATTGCAGAACCAACCCTAACAGCCCCTGGCTGTTGTGTGGTTTCTCTAGGCAAATTACGTCCAGTAGTTTGCCATTGCTTTCTGGACGGTCGGCTTTCTTGATACCACTGTCGAAACCAGCGCAAAGCGCATTGCCCGCAGCTGGGATCGAACCCGGCATCCCGGCATTACGAAGCGAAGTGTTCGCATCGACTTAGCCACAGAGCCGACCCTGCTTATAGAAGCCAAATATAAAAACTTTGCGCAGGAGTTTACAGCCAGCGAACGCTAAGAAGAAGACGGTACATTGAGGGGCACCCCAGTATCGGACCATCACACCCCCACCCCCTTGTTCTTTTTTTTTTTTTTTTTTTTGGTATGAGTGTGGTGTGTACTATGTGTCGACACTCCTGCTTAGCGCTGCTACGTGACGGTTTGATCACTCTGACATTACAAACTAGATAAGAAGCCAACTGGACAAATCCCAGATATCTCATTCGAACTTGAAAGACGTTGCCAGCCTACTGTAGCACATAGTCCTGTGCAAAATAAATTAAAACTATTCAAAAGTAGATTTTCATTCAGTCGACAACTTGCAGGAGACAATATGTTGCCTTAGTTCTTTTAAAGTCAATGACTAAACATGAGAAGTGAGAACATTGCAAGGCATTGATTAGTATGCAAGAATACCATCCATTTCCACATGATGCACTGTTTGGGATATAAGGATTTAAGTTAATTGGAGCTGCGTGCTCCGATCATTTATCCCCCCACCCCCTTTATTTTTGGTCATCCGTAAATGAGATTTAAACCCAAGATAATGGGACCAGCAGGCAATTGCTTAGCCAATGCGACCCCCCCCCCCCCCATCCTCCCCCCCCCCACTTTTTCCCCCTTCAAAACTTATGATGTTCATAGCAACAATCATTACATGGTAAGAGTGTGTTCACACATTAACTAGCAGGCTTGCCACCCAGCCAGGTGCCAGATGCAGTGCCGTTTCAACATATTGGCCCGGAAGGCACTTGGCATGGCACCCCACAAGTATAGAGGCCTCATGCTAATCTGTGTATACATTTAATATTGTCGACTATTTTCATTTAATTCTTATGTTTTCAAAAGGAGTAGAAAATTATAGGGAAGAGAAAAAGTTGGTAAGAAACAAAAAATAGTTTATGTTAGCTTTACAAAATCGATCACAATAAAAAAACAAAGGACGTTGCGGTGATTAGCCTTCGTCAGCACATAAAGGACAACACAGTACACATACACAAATATTCTTTAACTATGAAGTGACTACATAGGACTCTAATGTACAAAATTAATGATACTCATCTGGCGGTTGTCGTAGGGGCCCCCAGCACGTTTATTTGCCCAGGAGCCCATAATGCTGTTAAGACGGGTCGGGCCAAGTGGTCATATGACAGAATCTAAATCGAGTTGGATTTTCATGACACTTTAAAGATGGCCACCCCACTCTTGGCGTGCATCAAAGAGGCGCAGTGTTCTGTTACACTGTTTTTGATCAGTAAAGTGGTAAATCATATAGCAATGCACTGGATAATGGAGGTCCAGTGTGGTGATGATTGCCTGTCAGTGCAGCCAGTGTATGTGTGGAGTAGGAGTCACGTGGTCACGTCGTGACTTATGTGACAGACTGTTCACGACCGCTGGTTCAGGTCTCCCCGCCCCGCCCCCCCCCCCCCCCCACCCCACCCCCTCAACATCCCTCAATTAATTAGAAAAGGTGGAGTGCAAGAAAACAGTCCATCTTTGAGTTGACTTACACGCTACCTCATCCCTCTAGCAGCCATGCCGCCCTTTAGTGGTCTTTCTACACCACTATCATGTACAGGACGTTGCAGAACCAAACCCAGTAATTTTTGGCTGTTGCGGTTTTTCTAGGCAAATTTTACGTTCAGTAGTTTGCTACTTATCAGGGGGCCGACCGTCCAAACGGCAAACTAATGGACGTAAATTTGCTTAGAGAAACCACACAACAGCTAGGGGCTGCTGGGGTTGGTTCTGCAACATCCTGTAAAAGATACGCAACTAACCTTAGTTTGCTACTGTTTTCTGAACAATCAGCTCTCGGTACCACTGTCGAAACCAACGCAAGACAAATCGTCCGCAGCTGGGATCGAACCCAGCACCCTTGCACTAAGAAGCGCGTTCGCAACGTCTGAGCCACAGACGCCGATTGCGTCTAAACCACTGCAGCGAATAATAATATGGCAATGTATTTCAGTGGCAGAGACATGGTGAAAACTACATGCATATCTGAAAATAGTAATGCAGATGTTTTGAAAAGAAATTAACTCACCCAGAGAACTGATTACTTGCATCGGAAGGAGACAGTCTTTGTTATATCAAGAGGAGGAGAAAACTGTTATACATAGTGACAGTTAGAACGTTAGAAGAAAAAAGTGTCAGAGGGAGGCCTTTAGAGAAGATTCTAGATAGTTTGGCATCATGGCGTGGACGATCATCTGTGTCAGAAATGATTGAAAGCACACGAGGTAGCAGGCTGTGAATATACATGACTTCCAACACCGCACGGCATCAACTGTGAGAAGAAGAAGACATGGTGCTATGTACTAGCCTCTTTTCTTTATCTTTTTTTTTTTTTCTTTTTTTTTTCCAGGTCGCACACATGGCTCAGACTACAAAATGTGGGAGGAAGGAGCCAACGCTACCTTGGGTGCAAAGCTCTTCGCAGAACAAGGCGATGCCAACCAGCTTGACGTGGAGTCAGTGCAGGGCTATGACGACATCCTCGACAGTTTTGTGGCGCCTCCAGTAAGCAAAGGTGTTGGCCAGACATCCACGATTGTCATTTTGGATGGACATAGCTCCAAGGTATGGAGAAGTAGCATTTGTCCGGCTCGTGGTTAAGGTATTGATTTTAGCATCAAAAACAAAGCGCTTGAAGTAGGGATTCATGTTTCAAAGACGAATGATTAAGTGAGTGAGTGAGTAAGTAAGTGAGTGGGGCAGGGAGAGAGTGAGTCAGTGAATGAGTGAGTCAGTGAGTGAGTGAGTGAGTGAGTGAGTGAGTGAGTGAGTGAGTGAGTGAGTGAGTGAGTGAGTGAGTGAGTGAGTGAGTGAGTGAGTGAGTGAGTGAGTGAGTGAGTGAGTGAGTGAGTGAGTGAGTGAGTGAATGAGTGAGTGAGTGAGTGAGTGAGTTACCCGGGGAGGGAGAGAGTGAGTGAGTGATTGAATGAGTGCGTGAGTGTGTGTGGTATTCAACCCCACTAAAACCGCACAACAAGCGAGAAACACCTGGTGACACAAAGTGCCACCATTTGGTTGAGAATACCCCGGGCACAAGTCTCAGAAACCCCGTTTCACCTTCAGGTTATATTAGGACCCCAACTACAGCCGGGTGGGGGCTTTAAAATAGCAACAACAACAACAACAAATGCACCCATATTGGGGTGGAGATATGTTTTAGAGACACCTGGAGACTCAAGTATTTTGAGCCCGTATCCCCCCCCCCTCTTTTCTAAAAAATATCAGAGTCGTCCCCACCCTGCCCCCTAGTACGCCCCCCCCCCCCCCCCCCCGACAATTTGCAAGGACTCTTCTAAGTGGCCCTATAATCAAGTATAGACATTTTCTTTTCAAATATTAGCTTATACATTTTATATTATTTTAAATAGGGGGCTGTGTGGTCTCGAGGCACGGTGTTCACCTCGAGTGCTAGAGGTTCCGTGTTCAATGCCCGGTAAGGGCTGGGATTTTGTTCACGTGGACTTGGACTTCTAGTAATTCCCCCTGGTCTCTGGGTAGTGAGATCTGACGCCCGTGCGCAACAATGCAGTTGGAAATCGAAGAGTTGCCTTCCGGCGCTGCCCGAGCAAAATTTGGAGTTAGAAATTTACCAAAAGTATTTCAGGATCCTCGCTGGTGCTACAGAGCCTGTGCACTGTACAAAGCTTCTTCGGACTGAGACTTGAGTTAGAAGAAGAACGGAGCATTTATGGATTACTACCATGATGTTGATCCGTTGTTCCAACTTCAAATCTCAAACTATTATTTTAAACGCATTTTAATATTCCATTGCCGTTGAGCACATAATAATAATGTATTTATATGATGTATGTGTTGATTTGTTTTCAGCTGTCTTTTATGATGAGGATTATCCCCAGCCCTGACTGGTTTATTGGCGTCAACAGTTTGGACCTGTGTGCGCACGGGAGATGGAAAAACAAAGTTCACCTAGACCTGACTCCATTTGATGCTGGAACCGATCAAGGATTAACTTTCACTGCTCCCAACTGGCCAAACACTCCCCAGATGCCAATATCAGCCATTACATCATCTTTGCCTGACCACCCAGCTAGTTCCTTCTTCTATCCAGAATTTACGGTAAATTTATCTTGTATTTGTTTATGTAGGCTTCTATTGCTTAGGCTTTACGAACGCACTTCGTAATGACGGGGTGCCGGGTTCGATCCCTGCTGTGGTCGGTTTTGACCGTGGTACCGAGAGCCGACCGTCCAGCGGCAATCGCAAACTATTGGACGTACATTTGCCTAGAGGGACTACAACAGCCGGGGGGTGCTGGGATTGGTTCTGCCGCGTCCTGTAAAGGATACGCAACTAATTAAAAATGTGTTTATATTATCTGCAATTTACCTCTGTCATTGATGGTTGGAAAAAGAATTCTTGCTTGCTACATACATCTACTTTTAACATATGGCTGTGAATCCTGGACAATCGGTAGGCAGGACAAACAATTTCTTCAGGCCTCAGAGATGAGGTTTTACAGTAAAAAGTAAAATAAAGATATCTTTTCAAGCCTTTAGGCCTACTGGGCATATAGGAAAAGCACCCCTATTTTTACAAACCAGTCAGCACTACGTGGGTAATACGGTCAACATTACGCCGGCCGTCTTTACTTCCACAGGACATACATCCTGGTACCCATTATAGACTGGGTCGACCTGCGACACCCCATACCATGATAAAAATTTACGCTGCCAGCGGTGGGTTTCGATCGCGGTACGTTGGAATTACGAGTCTGGTTTTACAGAAGAATGCCTAAAATACCTTGAACAGCTAAAAAGAGCAACCAAGAGGTTTTGAAAGAGGTGGGAACCCGAAGACAACTTGTCCCACACATCAGAAAGAGACAGTCGTCATTTTTAGGCCATGTTATGAGAAGAGGGAAATGGAACATGTTGTGACCACTGAAAAGATCTGTGGAAGAAGGGATAGAGGAAGACAGTCGGCAAGGCACCTGATAGTGATGATGATAATATTCAATTTTATATTATAATACATGTTTCTTTCTTTTTTTTTTTTTTTTTTTTTTTTCAATTCCCAGTGAATTTCAAATTTTTCCCCTTGCAAATTTCCAATTTCTTTTTTTTTTCCCTTAAATATAAATTTAAGTATATTATCTCAGACTTCTATTTTTTTTTTTTCTAGTTTTCCTATATCAGCTGGTATAATGTTGAATGTTTATTGTTAAATAAAGAATTGACATCACAGTACTCAGGGACTCTCCGATATGTGCTCAGTCTCCATCTTCCGCAGCCAGCGAAGAGTTCCAATTCTGATGGTACCAGTTACCGTCTGATTGTATGTTCGTCTCATCCTTCCCCTGGGTGTTAAGCGTCGGCCAGATCCCCTGATAATTCCTCGCAGCGTCATTCTCCTCAGACCGTAATGATCTATCTCGGCCTTCGTACTGTTCATTCGTTTCCAAAGAGCCCTCACAATATGTAACTTTTCATACATCAATTCACCACTAAGTGGTGCCGAGCCAGTCAGTCTATCTGCCTGCTCATTTCCCAACATTCCGACATGCCTGGAAAAAATATCAAAAGGATGCTAACTACCCGGGACCTCTGAATTGATGCTTGCAACTCTGCACGAAGAATGCCTGTTTTCACTTTTCTCAACATGCCCTGTGGGTCAGTTACAATCACGGCATGTGTGTACAGCTAATTCTCAAGCCAGCGGAAGGCAGCAGAGACTGCCTCCACCTCCATTCTCAAACTAGACGTTGTGATATCATTTGCTAGGCTTTGCTGCACTAAGCGACATCCGTTCGCCGTTGCTATAAAAACCCCGTACATTTCGTCTTCCCCTCAACATAGAGCCATCTGTATAGATGATACGTTTTCTGAGATCAGCTGGTGTTATTAAACACGTTAGGGGTCTCAGCGCTCTACATAGCTTACAGTCTTATCAAGTCTAAGTCCGCCCCTGTGATATCAGCGAAACATGATGTCCCCATAACTGGGGTCTCTTTTTACAGGATAATTTCCCCGTGTGGGTTCCGGGGCCCTATTATAGGGAAAACAAGAATAGACCCACTGTCTACCCTAAAGCATGTCGTAAGAGTCGACTAATTGGGAGCTTCCTTTAAAGTCGGAGTGCATCTGCCTGATAGGCAAGGAACCAACAGTCTGCTCACAAATGAGTCATAACTGTCAAACGGATGCACACGCAACACTCAGGCTCTAGATATCAGGCTCTAGAACGGGACTGCAGTCTAAAAGTGGACGAGCAACCAAAACTTTCCACCAGAGTTTACAGCTGGTGAACGCAAAGAAGAAGAAGAAAGGAAATTTAGTAACAATTTTATGTGATAACTTTTTTTTTTTAAATTATCAATCTTCAAATTTTTTCCCCAGCTGTCTATTTTTTAAAATATTATTTTAGGCATAGTTTTGTTTTATGTTTAGGACCCTTTTTCCCGCCTTTCATGCGTATTGGATATAAAGGGCTAGGCTTGTATTGTATAGACTAAACGGCACTTGGTAGATGATGTGGTCAGCATTACGGCGGCCGCTTTTACCTCCCAGGACTGCACCTGGTACCCACTCACGGCTGGGTCGACCTAGGAGTCAAGGTCATATTTTTCTTTTTTTCAAGTCCGGCCCCATCAGGAAGCGAACCCACGACCTTCCGATCTGCAGGTCTAGCCACTAGACCACGGCGCCCCCATTATTGGGTATAATATCTTTAATTTTTTTTTCTAACTTGTAACCTATGGCAAAGCACAAGTAAAGTGGTTACAGTTTTAAAAAATTTGATCATGCATTTTTCCTGTGGCAATTTACGGTTGTGAGTCTTGGACTCTCACTCAGTCATTGGGGAAAAAGATTGGAGCTTTTGAATTGAAATGTTATAGAAAGATTCTTAGAATACCATGGATCAGGAAGAGGAAAAACATCGACATTCTGAATGAGTTGAACATCAAGGAGAACTGGCTCATAAGCAGCATCCTGTCTCGAAAGTTGAAGTATTTTGGCCACATCAAGCGCCATGGTGGCTTGGAAAAGATGGTGATGGAAGGTACAATTTATGGAAGGCGAGGCAGGGGTCGACCAACAAAAAGTGACGTTCTGTAAAGGACTTGCTGATTGATGATGAATCTATTGAGAGTCAATAAAATATTCAACTGATATTACGTCAAATGTCATTGTTCTATTGAGAATTATGTTATATAATTTATGTGATCTTGCAAACAAACTCCTTACTATTTCGTTTTATAAAAATTAAACGATTAATTAATTCCATTACTGATGCATTAGCGGCGTCTGTTGCTTGGGCGTTGCGAGTCCGACTCGTAATTCTAACGTACAGCAATCGAAACCCACTGCTGGCTGCGAAGATTTGTATCATGGTATGGGGCGTCGCAGGTCGACCCAGCCTAAAATGGGTACCAGGATGTATGGCCTGGGGAAGTAAAGACGGCCGGCGCAATACTGACTACATTACCCACCTAGTGCGGATGGTCTCTAAAAATTTGGGCGCTCTTCCCATATCCCCAATGCTCATAAAGGCGTGAAGAAGGATCTTTACTTACTTTTTTATTTATGCATTTAGAAGGCGAATATATTTTAAAGTTTCCTGAGATTAACTGGTGTTATAAGAAATGAGGGGCCTCATGGCTTTATGTTGCTTGGGGCCTCGTCAAGTCTATATCTGGCCATTTGATGTCAGTTCCGTTACGTTGCTTTGTCCTGCTAGTGAGATGCAATCTTTCGTTATTTGAATCCCCACCCTGGCTTTTGTCAAGGAGCCCTGAATATATCCAGGCCGTAAATATGGCCTAACGGCTGAAAGGGGTTTCTGGGACCTCTCCACGGTTGATCCTCATCCGCATGGTGGCACTTTGTGTCACTGGGTGTTTATCGCTTTCTGTGATGTCCTGGTGGGTAAATTAAGAGAGAGAGAGAGAGAGAGAGAGAGAGAGAGAGAGAGAGAGAGAGAGAGAGAGAGAGAGACTGACATGTTGTTTCAGTGAAATAACATGATGATGTTCTCCACTCTCCACACAGAACCTTCCCCGCCTGGCATACCTGGAGCTGGATATTGTCTCAGAGTATAGACACCGAGAGACTTTCATGAAGGTTCTCCATCATTTCAATGCCACTGAGAAGCCTGAATCCAGCGATGAAAGGAAACTTAAGGACAATGATGTATCGACCACCACGGTCAAAATGGACAGTAAATTGTCGCCATTCTCAGTTATCTTCAATAAAGTGGCCGAAAGGGCGTCCAAAAATCACAATGATAACAATCCTGCGACTGAAGGCATCTCCTCTCATTTTGAACCACCGGGTCACTCTAACAGGAGTTCGATCAAGAACAAAGAGGACAATGTAATAACACTTAACAATAGCCATTTGACAACCAACCATGACAATAACGACGAAATAAATGCGGACGGGAACAAGAAAGAAGTACACAAGTCCACCACCAGAAAGGTAGACACTGAGAGAGATCCTACTTTCGATACAGAGCTTAAACCAGCCTTAGACTCACGCTTTGGTAGCACTTCCCTTAACCAGGACTATTTTACTGCCAAGACATCGGGAGCTGACAGCCTTCCCGGATCCTTAAGAGATAACGAAATCGACAGAGATAAAGGCGCTTCAAAGCTGGGCCATATATTTAAACTGGACGAATTGTTGAAAAGACCAGAACAACATCTGAAACAAGACAGTACAGCGCCCACGCCTAAAGACAAAAGTGTTCTCCCAAATGGCACCGATGATCTTCGACTTGCTGGAGCATCTGTTCTCAAACCAATAGATGTTTACGGTATGTATATGTTCCTCTTTCTCAGCGTTCGCTGTAAATTAAATGTAACATTTTAGCAAGTGCATCAAGCAAGGGGTCGCAAACTGTTCCTCCCCAAGTTGGTTACAACACCCGGCACATGTCCGTCTTTCCAGACGGTAGTGTTATACTGCGGCAAAGAGAGACAGGGGGGTCACCGCCATGGCGATAATTCCCGTTTGCTTTCAAACGTCTTTCATAAACAGAGTAGGTCATTGTCATCGCACACATTTAAAGTGCATTCTCCTATTATCTGAGATTCTCACCTATCTGCAATCGTTTTTTTTTTTTCGTTATCCCCATTTCCTTCCTGATTTTCCCCGTCTCTAAACAACAAGGTTCATAACATCATGTTCACACGAATCTAACTCAATACATATATCATTCATGTCCCGCCCGCACACATTATTGTATCGCAGAAGGCACAAAGCTTGAGATCTTCTCCCCATCTGTAAACCTCCACAGAGGAGGGACTCCACCATCCTCCAAGTGTGTCATAGCCATCTGAGCCTACAAAGAACTGGACTTTGATAAAACTAGCATAAGTACTAACTACGAACTAATTTCTCTCGTTTCTTGATTTCTACAGGGGCCGCGTCTATTGACTGCGAAGTCAGTGAATGGTCAGAGTGGAGTGAGTGCAGCCAGTCATGTGGCTTTGGTCAAATGGAGAGAGTTCGTGGCGTCTCAGTCTACCCACAGAGCGGAGGCGCCAACTGTCCACGACTCACAGAGACAAGTTTGTGTGGCAGTATGAGGAACTGCCAGTGGACTCCCTTCACTTTCCTTTCACCAAACGCTACCAAAAGACAGATGAGAGAAGGACGAAACAGACGTCCGCGGGTTCAGGCACAGAAGCTTTTGGAAACGCGTCATTAAAACGTTTATTAACAATGACTAATATTGTTGATATATTGTTTTTGTGGTAACAAATTGACTGTTTAGACAGATTAATACATGGATGGACCGAACCGCATAGCAGGGTCGCGACAAAAACATAGACCTTTCCAAGAGTCTGGTGATCGTGGGTGGGAAATGGCGAGCTGTGACTGCCTATGTTTATCAAAATGGCACATAATGCTGTCAATGATTATATTATTTGTATGTCAATTGTAAAGATTTAATAGTCACCCAAAATGAAAGGAAACTGATTTTATTTAGTCGGTTGCAGTCACCTTAGGGGAGTGTTTATTATTTGTTTAACAAAATGATAACAGGCTAACTTTTTAGGGTAGTCATTTTAATAGCTTATAAAAGATGTTATAAATATCAAAATGGCATTGGGCAGGAAAATTATTCCCTACCCTTGTTGTATACAATCCTCATTGTAAATGGCAGGTCTCATATTTGCTTAGACACTACTGCTTTTACAGAAAGCAGAATTATCTAGATGTATATACTGTATTTCATTGCTGGTGTAATATAGTACATAACAAACAAACAGATCGTGTACTGATTGGTACTGGTAGAAAGAAGTAGAAAGATAGAAGGACACACTAGACAACATAAAAATCAAAAGCTATAGTTACTGTGCCAGGAATCGAACCTGTCACCTCCAAATGGCGTTATGGAAACAAGTATACTAAGATACATGACCAACATGGCACCCCTAAGAAAAAGGTGTGTTCTTTGGCCATGCTTATCGTACAGTTTGAAATCCACAACTATGGAATACCGACAGAATTCATCTCAAACCACTGAAATGGCACCATAGGTTACATAAATTTATAATAACGAAGCATAGGTCGACTAGCATATTTCGGTGTAATTTAGGAAACACACCAATGATTTGTTTTAAAATCATTGTTACATTGACATGAATATTTAGTGGACACCTACCAAAGTGCCCTATAGCACAAAGATATCAGTGATGAATTTACGAGACACTTTGCTGTAATTTTATCATATATATCCTGTTCAGCCCCTAGAGGTTAAGACTGGGATGTATAAAGTTTGTGTGTTTTTAGATTTATGTTCAATACTTTTAGCTATTTAATATTGCATCGGTTATAAGTAGGGTTGTATTTAGGGTGTACGACGCCCCTAGAAAGACATTTATTGTACACCCTCTCACTATTGACACACTTTTTTAAGGCCAGACCGCTAAACAAATGCTGGTTTCACAATGTTACAGCTTCCCCGTGTGTTTTCTGGGGCCATATTATAGGGGTAAAAAGAATAGACCCACTACCTAAAAGCATGTCGTAAGAGTCGACTAATTGGAAGCTTCTTTCAAGGTCGGAGTGCATATGTCTGAGAAGCAAGGAACCAGCAGTCTGCATATAAATGTGTCAAATCTGTAAAACGGATGAGCACGCAACACGCAGGTTCTGGAACAGGACTGCAGTTAAAAAGTGGATGAACAACCAGAACTCTCCGCCAGAGTTCACAGCTGTTGAATGCGAAGAAGAAGAAGATAATGTTACGAACAATAAAAAAAATATAAACATTTTATTAGCAATCGTTATATTTGGCCGCCATGTGCAGCTGCACATGTTGCGCATACCTAAATACAACCTTGGTTATCACTGTTTAATTATAACAGATTATAAGATTACTACACATGTTGATCGACAAGTTTATACCTACTTAAGTTCTTCTTCTTCTTCTTCTTCTTCTTCTTTCACTTCTTCTCCTCTTCTTCCAAAAACCTCAGCAAAGTGTTGAGAGTTGGGGGCGACGGTCTTTTTCATGCATTGCATACACTGATTTTCATTTCTTTAAGGCTGTTTTTGATGCTGTCGTTTCATGTTTTGCGTAGTCTTTTCCTTGCTCATTGTTCATTAAAGTTCATGAAAGTCAATTTATGTGGCTATTGGTACCCGGGTATTCTCGTCAGAAGGCCAAACTATGTCGTCTCTTGCTCTTTAATGAATGACTGCATTCAATCCTAAACTGATAATTTATTTACTTTTATTTGTATTACGAAGGATGTTCAACTAACTTGATGCAAATGTGGTACTGCCAGTAGTCTTCTTGTGTCAGTTCTTGATATTCCTTGTAGTTTTATGAAAATACAAAATATAATAGTCGTTCCCTCGTGGGATGCAATTTTTTTATTTGAAGCCCCACCCTGGTTTCTGCCGGGGGCCCTGAATATAACCGGGGCATAGATATGGCCTAGCCACAGATATGGCTACGGCTGAAAGGGGTCTCTGGGACCTCTCCAAAGTGATCCTCATCCGCATGGTGGCACTTCGTGTCACCGGGTGTTTATCGCTTGTGTGACGTCCTGGTGGGGTACAACTACCTACCTACCTTGTAGTTTGTTTATGACATTCATTTTTTTGTCGTTTTTCTGCTTTGTTGTCTTATTTACTATAATTTAACATGTAATTCTAGCTAGTTAGTGCCAGTTGTTTATTTATTTTTCTAAACGTGATTTAATCATTTTCTAGATAACGTTGTTTTTCTCCGTGTGTTTTATATTTCTGTGTCATGCCCCCCTACACATTTTCTACTTGGTATTTCTAAATATAACCTAATTGTATTGTTATAATTGTTTATCAGAACCACTCAAAGCTTCCATCAGCTTTGTTACTGTAGAAATTGATGAAGGAATACTTGAAATTAGTTTTCAATATTTCTATTGTATATGATACTGTAAATATTGTTTCAATAGAAACATGTTTTCATTTACAAATTATTATTATTTTGTTTTTGGTCAAATGTTTTTGTTTTCACTTGTGTATCAAGTAATTCAGCCTGCTTTTTTTTAAATAGTCTCTTAATCTATGCGCATGCCAATATATGCAAATGTACAGATAGTAATTCTAGCCGTAGAATAGTAGTGCTAGCTGTGGTGGTGTTGAGTGAGAACAGTAAAATTTTCTAGCTGTCATGGTGAAGGTGGTTGGTGGTGGTAGGTGAGAACAATACTTATTAGTTGTCATTGTGGTGTAGGTGAGAATAGTAATACTTCCAAGCTGTCTTAGTGGTGGTGGTAGATGAGAATAGTAATACTTCCAAGCTGTCTTGGTGGTGGTGGTAGATGAGAATAGTAATACTTCCAAGCTGTCTTGGTGGTGGTGGTAGATAAGAATAATAATACTTCCAAGCTATTTTGGTGGTGGTGGTAGATGAGAATAGTAATACTTCCAAGCTGTCGTAGTGTTATTAGTAGTAGCGGTGATAGAAATAGTGGTGAGAGATGAGAATTTATGGAATATTCAAGGCCATAGAATAGTAATACTTCCAAGCTATCTTGGTGGTGGTGGTAGAGGAGAATAGTAATACTTCCAAGCTGTCTTGGTGGCGGTGGTAGATGAGAATAGTAATACTTCCAAGCTATCATAGTGTTGTTAGTGTTAGTGGTGATAGAAGTAGTGGTGAGAGATGAGAATTTATGGAATATTCAAGGCCATAGATGCTAGCGTACTTCCAAGCTGTTGTGGTGGTGGTGGTGGTGGTGGTGGTAGTATCGGTTGTAGATGAGAATAGCAATATTTACAAGTCGTGGGTCATAGGTGAGAATAGCTTCCCATCTGTCTTGGTGGTGGTAATAGTGGACGGTGAGAATAGTTATACTTCCTAGCTGTCGTTGTGGTGGTAGTAGTAGCAGTAGGTGAGAAAAGTAATACTTTCTATTTGTGGCGGTGGTGTTGGTATGTTAGAACAGTAAAACTTCCTAGCTGCCTTTGTGGTAATAAGTGGTAAAAGTAATATTTACTAGACTCGATGATAGGTGATAATATTAATACTTCCAAGCTGTCGTGGTGATGATTGTAGTGTTGACAGGTGATAACTCCTAGCTGTCGTGGAGGTGGTATGTGAAAAAGGTAATATTTACCAGACTTGGTGATAAGTAGGAATAGTAATACTAGTCTTGGTTGTAGGTCAGAATAGTAATACTTACTAGACTTGGTGATAGGTTAGAATAGTAATACTTATTAGACGTGGTGGCAAATAAGAAGAGTAATATTTCCTAGCTGTAGTGCTGGTGGTAGGTGGGGAAAAAAAGTAATGTTACTGGACGTGTTGGTAGGTGGAAAATGTACTACTTACTAGACTTGGTGGTAGGTGAGAATAGTAATACTTATTAGACGTGGTAAATGAGAAGAGTAATACTTCCTAGCTGTCGTCGTGGTGGAAGTTGAGAATAATAATACTTATTAAAAGTCGTGATGGTAGGTGAAAAGAGTAATGCTTACTAGACGTGGTGGTAGATGGAAAATGTAATAATTACTAGACGCGTTGGTAGGTGGAAAAGGTAATACTTACTAGACTTAGTGGTAGGTGGAAAATGTAATACTTATTAGACTTGGTGGTAGGTGGAAAATGTAATGCTAGACTTAGGGGTAGATGGAAAATTTAAATACTACTAGACTTGGGGGTAAGTGAAAATAGTAATACATACTTACTATACGTGAAAATGAGAAGATTAATACCTACTAGACATGGTGAAAGGTGAGAATTAATAATACTTATTAAAGGTCGTGGTGGTGGGCCAGGATCATAGCCCCACAAAACACCCTTTTGTAAAGTGTTGGAGAAAATAGTGGCGAGTAAGCTAAAGGGAAATCTCGTTCCACAAGGTTTGGGAAGTTACCCCAGGGAAGGAGACATGGTCAAATGCAGCCACTTTTGCTCCATAACAGAACGGAAATGGTGGTAGCGGAACTTGATTTAGAAGATGCTTTCAACAGTCCGATACAGTATCGCGATGACAGCGCTTATGGAGAAGGGAGTCTGTCCTTGGTTAATGAAGTGGATAGCAGGTGTTTTGTGTACTTGTCGAGTTGCTCTCCGCCTGGGTTCATGGACCTCCGAACTATGTGCTATAACCCCAGGAGTAGCACAACGATCTGCAATTTCACCTTTACTGTTCAATATTTTCACGAGCAAGAGGGGGCTGCGTGGTCTCAAGGCATGGTGTCCGC